TTTTTAGCGCAATTTCCTTTAAGTTATGAAATCTTTTTTCGCTTTTGGAATAAAAACAAACTCCGACAAATTGTCGGACAATGAGTTGTTTTAAGTAAATTAAGTTTAAAATAACACACACACACAACTATATTATATTTTATATAGATCTAGAATACACCATGTATAATAATAATACATTTATATAAAATATGAGATTTTTAGGCCTAAAAGATTTCAATCGTCAATCTGAAATCAAGCCTAAATTATATATATATAGCCTAGATGCCTAGATCTAGATTTCTAGATCTAGAATTCTATATATAGATTCTAGATCTAGATCTATGACTTTAAAAAAAGCCCTCTTGAAAATTCCGACTTAGACAGTAACATACGACATACAGGATTTATTTTTAATTTATAGACTCAAGAGTAGTCTAGAGATCTAGATTCTAGATCTAGATTCTTTTATTTTACAGTGTAGTTGAGTGGAATTAATTACTAAATTACTAAAATTAGGCCTAATAAATAGGCTATTTACTTACAAAAGACAGGTAGACTAGAATATGTTCAATATCAATTTATATATAGAATCTAGATTATTCTAGATCTAGTGAAGTTTAGTGTGGTCTTGTTGTAGAACTTAAGAACTAAATCTAGAGAGTAGGAAACTGTAGTATTTTAGATCTAGAATCTAGTAATGTGTGACGTCATTTTAGGGGGGGGGGTCTGGTTTTGTGTGACGATGTGTGACAGAGGGGAGGAGGTAAAAATCGTAAAAAAAGCGTGACGTCATTTATGGATGACCCCCCATGGAGAAGATCCACACAGAAACAGTTGAAGGAAAGGGGCCTAACATTCAAACAAGTAGAGGTACCAACATGATTTTAAAGATCATATAGATATACATATATATAGGTGGAGGGGGAGAGAGAGAGAGAGAGGGTTCATCTGTAAATTGCGTCACACATTATATGATGATTTTTATCTCCCACTCAATAAAGGAGGGCAGTAACAAGAAGAATGTATGATAGCTGGGTAATCCTAATGCTGTGTTGTTAATTTATATAATCAGATTATTGTGGTAAATGAAAGTCAACATATCTAGCCTAACAAAATGCCATGAATTTAAAATATGTATTATGACTTAGAGAAAGTTTGGTGAAATGGAAATATCTGCAAATTTAATTTATTGATGATGTGTAACTTATTTATATTATTCCTTTGGAGCTGATAGTAATAAAAATTTAATGAAATTATAGAGTTTTTTCCAATTGATGTTTCTAAAGCCTTGCATGAACTTAATTTAAATATATTTAGCTGCCCAGGCAAAAAACCCAATGAATTTTCCAGAATTGGCTTGTCGTTTGACCGATGGTAACAAAGAGAATCACCCAGGATCTTCGCTGATAAGAAAATCTGAAGACGTACCTTATTCTTCTATACCTAAATGTGATTTGTCTAATGAAAATATTTATTCAGTGACAATTGCTAAAGATATTTTACCATTATTTCAAACATCATCTTCTGAAATGTTGTTTTCTATCTCTAAACCTTCCACAATTTCTTCAAGTTTCAAGAGATATTTTAACATCATTGCCTACTTCCCACAGTTCTTATGTTCAAAATTTGCAATTTTCTGAGAAACAAAGTAATAATAAATTTGTACCCAGTGTTTTAGTTTCAGCTCCATTAAAATTTAATAAACCAATGAATTTCAAAATTAAATGTTTCTTATCCCATATGAAAGTAGTCTGTTAAAAAAATTTAATGTTTGGATGTCAATAAATTATTGACATGGACTGGTTTGCTGGTAAGCTTTTATACTTAATGTACAATGAAGATTCAGTTTTGATGTCAATATAGTTGCTTCTGAAATAATTAAACTATAAACAATAGCATTTATATAAATATCTCAATGGCAGTTCAGTATACTTTCATCATTGTTTTCAAATAACAAAACAGAACTACAATTTTAAAATTGAAAAAGAAAATTAAAAGAATTTCATAAATCGATGGTTTTTTAATTACTTAAAACAGAAGATGCATCAATACAGCATTACAATGTATATGATTAATATTTGTTTTAATGGACAATCATCATTCAAATTCTTCATTCAAAGTTAAATTCAGCTTCCTTGTGTCTAAAAATCCACATCCATGCTGTTCCATTTACCTAGAAATTAAATAAATAATATTTTTAACAACTTTCAGTAATATGAAAAAATTAATCATTGATTAAAACAGACAGCCAATATAGCAGTTGAATTAAAATTCACCTGTTTCTGTGACATTTAAAATTAGAGTGTTCAGAGGTATATACCCAGCCACCTTTAATTTCCCTATCTTGAGCCAGGTACTCATGAGAGCTGGTACTCATGAGACTTAGGACATCATACCAGGACTAAAGCCAGGGATCTGAACTCTTATCTTTTAGGATAGAAATGTGAAAGCTACTGTCTGACAGTCCCACTATCAAGCCATACATATTAATACTTACAGTAAATAATCTTAATAGCAACATATTCTTTAAGAATTAGAACACTTAATTGGTTTCAAACTTGGGCTTAAGCTGAAAAATGGCTTATTATAAAAAAAATTCAGCTCACCTTTAGCTCAAGATCAGCACCAATAGCCACAGTAAAGTTTGAGAAAATTGCTTGCCAAGTACCTAGAGAATTTTAATATAATAAATTATTAAGTTTATCCATATATTATATTTAAAACATTATTTAACTAATATGTGATATTAATATATATATATATATATATATATATATATATATATATATATATATATATATATATATATATATATATGTTTCATTTATTGTAAAGGTTCAGTTTTCTATCTACTTAGCTTGTCTTAAAAACTAAAATATCTGGTTTAAAGTTAACCATATCTTAACTATCACAAAACTATTAGTTTCATTTTCATTACTTGTAACTAAAAATTGTAGTCAATAGATCTAAAACTTAATTCTATTAACAGCTAACTGTAACTGTACTGACCCTGACCAATTTATTAATTTTTGTACCATGTAATTCATTAATAATTAGGCTTATACTAAAAGGCCGAAAGTTATCAATTGTAGAATTTATAGTCCCTGGTCTAGACTAACAAGATTAGCCTACAAGTCTAATAGTACTAATACACATGATTTAGTTTCTAAGTTTACTACTAGGCAACTTGCTAGAAGACTAGTACTTAACCAAACTTTAACTTGCTAAAAATAAAAGGGCCTAATACAATAGTAGTTGGCCTAGTAATACTTTTTTTTTACTGTGCTACTTACACTGCTTTTGGTACTATTACTACGGCTAACTAACTACTAACTAAACTCTATTGTAGCTTGATGGAGATCTATCATCTTGCTCTTCTAGTAGTTTACACTACTTAGTACTTAGAAAAGTAGTAGCACTACTGTAACAATTTCAAACTAAATTTAATCTTTATATTACTAGATCTACTAATTGCAACACTGTAGTCTGATAAGTCTGTAAGCCATAAATGTAGTCTAGTTATTAGTACCTACACTCTACAATAGTCTACAGTACTCTACACTACACTCTACTACTACTCTTCTCACTCTACTGGCTACTGATCTAGATCTAGTAAATAGCTAGAGTAGATCTAGTTTAGATTCTAGATCTAAAAAAATCGATTTAAAATTAAAAACAGGTTAGCCTTACTAGCTCTTACTAAACTTAACTAGGGTAGGTTTTACCTAAACTAGATCTAATCTAATCTAGATCTAGAATCTATCTAGATCTACTAGATTCTCTAGATCTAGATTTTAGATCTAGGGCCTACCATACTACCATCTGCATCTAGATCTACTATCTCTATCTACATCTAGCCATCTATCTACAAGCTACTTCTTATAGGCCTACTTCTAAAATATTAAACAGTAATCACTGAGTAATCAGTACTAGAGTCTAGTTCAGTAATCTAGCTAGATCTAGACCTAGGTCTATTAACATTCATTGTTGTCAAAGTCTAGAATCTATATCTATTATTTATATCTAGCTAGCTGCTAGATGATAGATCTAAATTTAAAATCTAAATAGTAAATACAAATGTTAGATTTTAAATTTTACATAAACAAGAGAATGTGGTCAATCTAATAACTTTCTAATCTAGTCTGATCTAGATCTAGATAGATCTATCTAGATCTACATCTAGATCTAGAATCTAGATCTATAATATCTATTATCTAAAAGCTCTAACTCTAGATTCTAGATTCGATTTTAAGTTGTAGGCTGAGTGAGACTGAGAGTCATCCTTTTCTTAATATTTTTAATATTTTATCTAGATCACTAAAATACAGATCTAGAATCTAGATCTAATAGATTCTAATTCGTGAACTTATACTCTTAGAACTAGATTAAAGCAATGTACATCTTAGTAGGTAGATTCTAGAATCTAGATCTAGTCTAGGTCTGGGAATCTTGAGTCTCGTAGCAAAGACTGAGTAGAGTCAGAGTTTGGACAAACTATCAACAAATGAAATAAAATCAATATACTTACCGCCACAAAACTTTTATATTAAAAAATGCATACACATGTGTTTGTTCCCATCCATATGAACAAAACAGCGTTGAAAGTTTTTACAGTTGTTGCTTTTCTGGAACGTTTGATGATTTTGAAATCTTGAAGCGGGACCTACTAACTAATAGCCGCCATGTTTTTTGTTATCAATGGGAATCCCGTTCACAACAATTGATTTAGTTCGAAAACTTTTATCTCTCCCTGGCTAACCAGACATGAATTAACGCGAGAAAGAACGATAAACTTACAAGCCCAATAGGCCTACTGAAGAAAGATTTTAGAAATTTACCTGGACTTAAAAAAAATAGTTCAAATCCAAATAGTTCAGATCTAGATCTAGATTTTTTCTAGATCTAGAGTCTAGATCTAATTTAATATAGTCTACAAATACACTCCACAACACACAATATTATATAGATCTAGATTTAGATCTAAATCTAGATTACATTATTACATTGGGCCTACATACTCACAGTGAAACACGTCTGCTTCTGTGGTGTTTTTGCTCTTTAATTTAATGTTCCGAATCCTTGTTTTTTATTATTTATAGATCTCTAGATCTAGGTCTAGACCAGAATCGAATCTAAATTTAGATTCTGGCTACTAATCCGCCTCAAAAGAAAACATTTTTGAAAGGCAAGTGAATTTAATTTAACAGTATTTGTCATATTCATATTTAAATTAATAGCTTTTATATCTCTAGATCTTAATTATTATTAATTATTTGCCTAATTCTATGCTAGTTATTTAATTTTTACTTTGAAATCGAATCTGGTTCAAGACCTAGGGGACACCACCCATTTTTCACTAACTCGTCTGTTCTTCCATTGAATCTCCCTTACGAGTAAGACAGCCTAAGACGATTTAGGCGACTTAAGGCCTAGAAAAAAAGGGCAACCCCGCAAAACAAATTCTGGGTCCACTATGTATGTATGTATGTATATATATATATATATATATATATATATATATATATATATATATATATATATATATATATAGATATAGATATAGATATAGATATAGATATAGATATAGATATAGATATAGATATAGATATAGATATAGATATAGATATAGATATAGATATAGATATAGATATAGATATAGATATAGATATAGATATAGATATAGATATAGATATAGATATAGATATAGATATAGATATAGATATAGATATAGATATAGAGATAGAGATAGAGATAGAGATAGAGATAGAGATAGAGATAGATATAGATATAGATATAGATATAGATATAGATATAGATATAGATATCGATATAGATATAGATATAGATATAGATATAGATATAGATATAGATACAGTGGCGTAGCGAGGTCGGGTGTGACCCGGTGCGGCACTTAATGGTGTCACCCCCAGAGGCGTAGCGACTTCCCGTGGATTTTTGGATTTGCCCCCCCCCCCCTCCAAATTTTTCTCTATATATTTTACTATAGTGAACGCCAAATAAAAAAGTGCATAATAGTGCGCAATATTATTAGTACTTTAAAAATTTACATTAGTTTTTTGAGACATCTGAAGTAGCGTAAATTACTACTTCCGGTCAACTGAAATTACTCTAAATTTAACAGAAGGTAGAGAATTAGATCTTTTACTTACATGTGAAATTTCATTTATCTATCTGAAATAGTACTCAAGTTATAGGCTTTTGAAAAATTCAAAGTAGAAAAAGTACCACTTCCGGTTATCGAAAATCGCTCAAAAGTTGATACGGATCTACGATTTTGATAACATACTTATATATGAAATTTCATCAACCTAACTGTAACGGTACTCAAGTTATCGTGTTTACACAAATCTGGATTGATAATTTTTGCCCGATTAAAATAAGTCCTCTATACTTCGGATGTGTTGAAGGACTGAGGTATAATACGGTGAAAATTGTTAAAATTTCATGTATTTTTGTGCACGATTACAATACGTGCTCTATAGGCTACTTCGAAAATATGAGAAAGTAAAAAGTACATTTTACATTGTAAAATCACAAAGGATTGTGGCCCCTAACCAATGCTATAAATTATAAAGAAGCAATATGTAGCGGCCTCTCGCGCAATGGACTGATTTTTTTTTATTCAAAAGAATTTTGCCGACAACAGCGTGTGTTTGATTGTAGATGAAAGAGGACTCGGCTTTCACAATGGTTTAAAAAACTAAGGGAAAAAGAATCTACAAGAGCGTGGGATGGTGTCTATAGAATAAAGATAATCCAACCGCAGCTACGGTACTCTTTTTACAAAAACTTAGCCTAAGCGTTAAGCAAATTGCAAACATTACATAGGCGTACACAGGTTTTCGGGTAGGGGGAAAGGCGCCATATTATGTATATATTTACACACACACACACACACACACACACACACACACACACACATATATATATATATATATATATATATATATATATATATATATATATATATATATATATATATATATGACAGTGCTTCGCTAAAGGGAAACGTACATTCAGACATTGCACTAGAGAAAACAAACGAACAAAACAGCATGTAGGCCTACACACAAAACAAAATTCAACACAAAATATACACACAGCACAACCAAAAACAAGAAATACAACACACTAGGTTTTGTAGTAATTGCTAAAATAAACCATTTTGAGGTCAGAATATAGAATAACGTTCTTGAAGTTCTGTGAGAATGTGTTTATTTTTATTTAGCTTCCCCCGCCACTCCCCCATATAGTTTCATAGAGTTTTTAACACAATCCATCTAAAAAATATGTGCAGCTGTACCAGATGTTCTAGGTCAGTTGACAGCCAAGGGACTGCAGCTCCCCTTCCTGCTAGCATTGACACATCAAAGATAAGCAAAATCGTATTCTACGGGGCACACAAATTACCCTACGTTTCTAGACTGATCTTAAAACCGTATAAAATACGGATGATTGAACTGACATATCAAACAAACTTGATTCTTTTTAATACAAGATTTTACTTAGTTCACAACGTCTGTTTTGGATTTGTGGCAAATCTTGTAACTCGATTTTGACACTCTTCTAACGCAGAGATTTCTTTGAAGTTTTCAAGATATCTTCGTCTTTGATGACAATGCAAGAATATCTAATTTTAATTACATGCTTAATTAGTCTTAAAAATTGATTTAAATACTACTATATTCAATAGTAGAAGGGGAGATAGCTACCTAAACGCGATCACCGAATCAGCTTGCTGAGCTGTGGTTCACGCCGAATGTTTACAATCGTTGAGCTGAATCAAGTTCGTGATGGCTATTAAAAAAAGGGGCAGATAATAGTTTTTAAACTATTTCGAAACCAAGGTGAGATAACAAGAAATAGTGATCGCTATATCAGCGTGCAGTCCTCTGTGACTTGTGGCCATTGGGTGTTGATTTCACTACCGATCCAATTACTTTTTGCTCAAGAAACGTATGCACCTAAAGAAACGCAGGGGAAATAATCGACTCAGAGCCAGCTTTCATAATTTTTTCTTTTACTTCCCTTCCCTTTTTAAATTTTTAAGTTTTGAATAGCAATTTTGAACAATTTCTTAATATTAGATTCACCGATGACAACGCAATAATCTATAAATGCAATGAAAGTCTAATAAGTCATGAAATAAGTCATAAGCTACAAGTTGACTTGTCCAGTAGTAGATATCATCTGATGAGTTGTTTTCAAAACGGGGCCAGACAATACTTGAGTAGAGGACTGAGAAAGTAGAATGCTACTTGAGGACTGAGGGAGTAGAATGCTAATTGAGTAGAGGACTGAGGGAGTAGAATGCTACTTGAGGACTGAGGGAGTAGAATGCTAATTGAGTAGAGGACTGAGGGAGTAGAATGCTACTTGAGGACTGAGGGAGTAGAATGCTAATTGAGTAGAGGACTGAGGGAGTAGAATGCTAATTGAAGACTGAGGTAGTAGAATGCTAATTGAGTAGAGGACTGAGGGAGTAGAATGCTAATTGAGTAGAGGACTGAGGGAATAGAATGCTAATTGAGGACTGAGGTAGTAGAATGCTAATTGAGTAGAGGACTGAGGGAGTAGAATGCTAATTGAGTAGAGGACTGAGGGAGTAGAATGCTAATTGAGGACTGAGGTAGTAGAATGCTAATTGAGTAGAGGACTGAGGGAGTAGAATGCTAATTGAGTAGAGGACTGAGGGAATAGAATGCTAATTGAGGACTGAGGTAGTAGAATGCTAATTGAGTAGAGGACTGAGGGAGTAAATTCTCTATAATGCTCAAATGAAATTCAATGAGACTCGTTAGGATAACATTCAAATGATTTACTTTGTCTGCTGTTTTTTTAAGTACCTACCTACCTACCTACCTATATATATATATATATATATATATATATATATATATATATATATATATATATATATATATATATATATATATATATATATATATATATATATATATGTGTGTGTGTGTGTGTGTGTGTGTGTGTTTGTAAAAGGTCATCCATAAATGACGTCACGCTTTTTTGACGATTTTTACCTCCCCCCCTCCCCTCCGTCACACGTCGTCACATAAAGCCAGACCCCCCCTAAAATGACGTCACACCTTAGCCTACAACCCCCTTCAAAATTGCTATTGAATCTTTCTTATAACATCGATATTTTTTTTTCCAAAATCTTGTCTGAACTCTGTCAACTTAGAGTATTTTGATCCATTCCTATTACAATTTATTAAAACCGTTTTCTAAATCGCGAAATAACGACTAAAACTCCTTTTCTAACATTTTTTTTATAATGCAAAAAAGTGACGTCACACCATCTGAACCCCCTCCCCTCATCACACACCGTCACAAAATTATGGAACCCCCCCCCCCCCCTACGAGTGTGACGTCATTTATGGACGACCCCCCCCCCCCCCCCAACCGTGTGATAATTACTCCTTGTGTTGTGTTTTGTTTCTATCCTGTCAACACTACCAATTGTGACGTGTGTTTTAACCATTATAAAAAGCTAATTTTAACCCCCCCCCCATCACCAGGGAGAGTACCCAGACCAGAATAGATGTCCGCTAGCTCTAGCCGGTGAGATAACGAATGATATAAATTAAAATAATGGACATTGACGACACGAACAAGGCGAGTTTAGCATAGAGACAAATAGGCAAGCAATAACATGCATTGAGCAGAGTGGCAAAGCTACAGAGGGGAGACAATTTTCATGTAAATTCTGATTGCACTGGCCCTTTATCTGATGCACCGAGCCACCAGCGTCCCGTCTGGTCTCTTCAAACAGCTCGTCTTCTCTAAGCTCACGTCTTTTCTAAGCTCACGTCTTTTCTAAGCTCACGTCTTTTCTAAGCTCACTATTTCTCACGCCTTCTTGCTGGTTTACTTGAGGTCTTTTCTAAGCTCACTATGTCTAATGTCATGTAGGTGGTTTACTTTGGATAGGATCTGACTAGCTGAACCTAAACCATCATGATGATGATCAAACTCTACTATGTATCATCTTGAAGTGGGCCATTGTTTGAACCGCTGTGTTTTCTCCCTGGGTTTTCGCG